GGTGAGCCAGCCCCAGCTAATGGCTGGGGCCAGCTTCTCCAAGGTGCGCGTTTGGATTTGAAGGTGCCTCTCCCCCCTTCCCGTTTCCTTCCTCTCAGAGATACCTGAGCCAGCAGGTCAACTCAGGTTACCTCAACAGGTATGAGACTCTCCCCCCACCCCGCCCCAGGGGGTCGATGCCGCCAAGAGAGAGCAGGTCCCCTAACCCAAACGATGGGCTCCCCAGGGGGTCCTTAAGCCTGGCACTCAGAAGGAGCTAGCACATGAGTACCTCGTATCCCCCAATACTTCAGGCATCCGAACCCTGCATGTCTCCTGCCCCTCCTCAGGGTGGGAGGCCGCCCTGTCTTCCACCATCCCTAACATTCCCTGGCCTGTCCGCTGTGGGTAGAGGAGAGGGGCCGGAGGTGGGGCGCTCTCCATATACCCAGTCAGGGCGGCACTGCCCCTTCAGACACCAGCTCCTGCCTGAGGCTTGGCTGGGGGCTCTGAGAGCAAAGCAGTTTATGGGGACAGAGGAGAGGGCCGCTGGAGGGTCCCTGGCCCTCTGGCGGGGCCGATCCAGGATGTTTCTTCTCAGGAGACTATTTGTATCTGGGTTGGAAGGGACTGGAGCAGGCCTCTTACTTGTCTCCACATACTCTAACCCTATAGGAAATGCCAGCTCAGCCCGGAGGGGCCCCCTGGCTTCACTGCACCCCCTACTTCCCCAAGCCGGCTGCCCAGGCCGGAATGTGGATGGGAACTGTCAACAGACACTCTTTAAATATTTACCCACAGTTTCTCTAGGGGGTTCCTCCCCTATCTCCAAGACTAGGGAAATTCAAGGTAATTCTAACGGATAAAAGAACCCTAGTCCATCAGGACCCTTTTCTGGCCATAAGCGTGTACAGTTATGTGGGGCTTAACACAGACAGAGAAAAGGGAGAAAGGGGAGAAGAGGGAGAGCTGTGGATACGTGTGCTGTGTGCATACGAATGAGGAAGAGGAACAAGAACGATTTTTCCGGTCTTCCCCTTCCAAGGCTGTGCGGGGATGTCACACACAGGGCAATACTGGGGCACACTCAGGATACACACATCCTGTATGTGCCACCTTCCACCCTGAGACACATCGAGTGCATGCTCCTTAAACTATCATGCATGCGTAGAAGCGCCCCTGTCACCTCGCAGACCCTGTGCACTCAGGCACACAGGAAAATAAGACCTGACAGACACACAGGCATCTTTAGCTTTTTGCATCATGAAAAAATTTGCCACCTATTTTCTTTCCACATCCTGGGTTTCCAGGTTGGATGAGGAAGGAGGCTGTTAGGAATCCAGGTCTCTGCCTTCCCCATCTGGAGCCCAGCTCTGGGGATGGATAAGGAATGGCAGTGCAGGAAAGGACGGTGTAGAATGACCCCTCCCCCAGTCCCTCTATTATCTAAATAATTGCTGGGAAGATGGCCACTCTCAGCCCAATTCCCAAAGGAGATTCCCTGGTGCCCCAGCAAAGGACACTTCCAGGATCCCTTGAATTTGGAGGAACCCACCTCCACCTGAATTAGGGACTGCCCAAACTCTGCAACATCCGGGAACTCTGGCCCTGGAGCAGCAGGAGGGGAGGGTCAGAGGAGGGCTGTGCCAGGGCTGCAGGCCTCCCTAGGGTCCAGGACAGTGTGGGGCATGACAGAGGTCTCCTTCACTACCAGAGCCAGCTGCAGCCTTGGTCCCAGCCCTGCGGTCTCTGAGCCTACTCCGCTCAGAGTACCAAGCTGAAGGAGATGGGCTCTGGGTTCCCAGCATCTGAGTCATTGGGGACTGTCATAAATATTTTCCCTTCTCCGCCTGGAAAGAGGAGGCTCCGCAGGCCAGATCCGCTCTGGGGCCTGCGCCTTATCTTTTAGAGGGTGGGGGGATATCTCGACATTTTATGGTCCAGCGAAAACCCTGCCACAGAGCTATTCTTCCAGGCCTTTGTGTCTTGGAATGCAACTGTCCCGAGTGTGCCGCCACCACCGTCTGCTCTGAGAGCCCACCAGTCCTGAACCCCCTGGCTGGACTCGATTTCCCCTTTTGGGGGGGGCCCCTCGCCTTTTCTTTTTTCATTTGATTG